AAAAAAAAAAAAAAGTGAAAACAGAAGCAAGAAATGAAAACAAAGCTTTTGTACATAGGCGGGGAGGGGGCTTGAGGAGGGACATGGGATGAAATAAAATTCATTTTAAAAAATTAAAAAAATCAAAGGGGCTGGGATGTACAGTGGTATAGTGACCTTAACTTTGACCTTCAGTACCAAGACAGAGAGACAAACAGATGAGAGAGAGAGAGAGAGAGAGAGAGAGAGAGAGAGAATTAGTTGTTTAAAGATTTCCGAAAGGCAGCTGGTAGTGAGATAGAACAATTTTCTGAAATAAAATAGTATTTCTTGATAAATCGATAAGGTTTGTAAAACATACTCTACTTTAAATATCTGCAAATAGAAGCATTTGTTTAAATTGTAAAATGCTGCAAGCTAATTGGGCACCTTCTATGGACAACTGCTGCAGCTGTCAGAGGTAATCTTAGTCTCCCATCCAAGGGACCTTGAAGAATATATCCACAATATGGCCAGAGCACAAATGAAAGCTCAAATTGCATTGAAAGAGGTTTCTTTTTCATAATGTTGAATCCACCCAGGTATGATGGTACATGCTCAGCACTCAGGGAGGTTGAGGCAGGAGATCGCTGCGAATTCAAGGCCTGCCTATGCTACATACTGAGTTCAAGGCCAGCCTGAATTACATCGTGAGACCCTGTCTCAAAAAATCAAAAGAGAAACAAATGCAGAATCCACCTGCCTTTTTTTTCCCCACGGCTGGCTATATTATGCCAAAAGAAGGAGTCTTTGTAGAGCCAGCTCTTGGTACACACACAAAAATATGCTGACTGTGTACGAATGCAGTCACGAGACACCCAGAGTCTCAGGGCCTCTGTGGGAGGACAGCGGGAGGGACAGGGACCTCCAGAGACAGGAGGGGATGAGGTAATCAAGGAGAGGTGTGGCCCAAAGACAGCCGGAGTCCAGAAGCCCCCAGACCCACAGGCTGGCTCTGGGTGGTGTCCACACCTTGTGCCCCGGTCAAGGCTGGCATCAGGGAGGTGGCCTGAAGCATCTGGACTCTTGGGTGGTGGGTGGACCCAGTGGCATCTTTGTGGTGACCAAGGGTCCTAGCAGAGTGTGCGCGGAGAACTGAGCGCCTCCAAGTGTCTGCGGTGTTCTCGGGCCAGGGATCCCAGCCACGTGGCTCTGCGCATCCCTGCCACCAGTAAGGGACTCTGCCGCATACCTGCGTGTGTGTGCGTGTGTGTGCTCCCATGGGTGAGCTTGTGGAACAACAAGGAAAGCAGATTGAGAGAAAGAGCAAGCATAAAGCAGAAGAAGCCTGAGAGAGGCAAAAAGAAACGGAAATAAGATAGAGGAAGAATTGCAAAGAAAGCTCGCTTTGCTCCTCACTGGCCCCAGGACAAAGAGCTGTGCCCAAGAACCGCTGGAAGTCACGATGCACCACCGGAAGTTACTATGCGCCCTTTGGCAGCACGAGGCGCTTTCCTGTCGCGGAAGAACCCGAAAGAAGAGAGAAGGCTTTGAAGGCAGCGCACTCTGAAAGGCGAGCACACCATCCCAGGCCCTTGAACCCAATATCGGAAGTCAGGCTCCAAACAGCTTAGAAATGAAACGTACTGGAAGCTTATTGCTGGCCAGAAAAGAAGATAATTTCTGACAAGGCTTTACTTATGTAGCATTCGTTTAAAACCAATGCTAAGTTTTTCTTGATTATAAAAGTAACCCACGTTCATCATTGGACATTTAGAAAACAGAAAACCACACAAAAGCAAACATGCACTGACAATGGGGGTCCCAGAACCCCGGTGCCCAAACAAATGAAGGCCTCCAGCAGCTGGTCTGTTACAGAGGCCGTGGTGAACAGACTGACACTGAACTCTCCCGGCAGGAGCAAAGTTTGAGAGTAGGGTGTCAGTTTACACCTGCCCGCAGATCTCGGCTTTGGGACATCACTGTTGACATGGATTTGGGGCTGTAAGAAGATGTGTAGTTGCTCTGTCTGCTGAGACTGACTGTGGTCTTGGCAATCTTCTGTGGGTGACCTAGCAGTGGCCGCAGGCACACCCAGCTAGACCCAGAGGCTTGGGTGGAGGCATCATGCTTACTCCAGCCTCTTCCAGTTGTACCAGAAAACAAACAGCTTCTTTATTTCTAAGTAAAATTTTGTGCCAGGCATGATGGTGGACATCTGTAATTCTAGCACGCAGGAAGTTGAGGCAGGAGGTTTGCCATAAGTTCCAGGCCAGCCTGGCTTACACAGTGAGTACAAGGCCAGCCTGGAATACATAGTAAGGCCCCGTCTTGAAAAACCAAACCACACCAGACCAGACCAGACACGACCAGACAATGACAAAAAATAAATAAGATTATTTTAAAGCCAGGCATAGAAAGACAATTATGGCATGAGATCGCTCATTTGAGAAACCTGAAAAAGCTGACCAGTGGAAGTCCAGAATAGGACAGGATTACCAGGGGCAGGGAAGAGACGGAAGACATTGGTCAATGGGCAGATCTGCAGCTTGACAGGAAGAAAAGGATCTGCCGTCCACTTCACAGTGGGGTGACCAGGGTTAGCAGTGTTGTGTTACATATTTCAGAATAACTGAGAGGATTTTCTATGCTGACCACCCTGATTTGATCACCGCCCTGTCTGTGTGCATGGACTCTTCACGCTGTACCCCATAAATATGTGCAGCTGTCATATGTCAATCAAAAATGAAACTTAAAGGGAACTTTATATGACATTATTTTAGGGTGTATCTTATAAAAGAACCAGAAAAGTATTTTTCCTTTTTGCTTCATTTTTTTCTGTGCTAGGGATTGAATCCAGGGCCTGTGTGCTGAGCTACATCCCCTAAGACTTTTTATTTTTTGGTATTTTGAGACAGGTCTTGTTAAGTCCCCAGGTTTCCCCAGCTGGGCCTGAACCTGAGATTGTTCTGCGCCAGCCTCCCTGAGCGCCGGGTTCTGGGTGTGCGTCACCACGCCCGGCTGCGTTTGAAGATGAGAGCAGGCAGAAGGCCGTGCGTGGAGCCCCAGGCTGCGTCCCAAGCCTGTGGAAAGGGCAGAGCAGAAAGGCAGAGCCCTGCTTCTGGTGGGAACAGTGGAGGAACGAGCGGGCGCCCGCGGGGAGCAGGTGCTGCAGACTCAGCTGAGCCCCACGGCACCACGTGGAGCAGATGAAGCTTCAGTTGAGTACGGTTTTCACTTTGTCCGCCAGAGCCTTGTCCTAATGCACAACAGTCAGCTTCCATGGTTAATTTTTCATTAAAAGAAAATCACTTCAAAGAACTTATTCAGCTAAGTTGTTTACCTAAAAGAAGAGTCGTTCTTTTCTGTGTGTGTGTGGGGGGGTGTTTAGTGCTGGGGATTGAACTTAGGGAGCACTGAGCTGCATACATCCTCAGTCCGCTTCATTTTTTAAATTTTGAGACAGAGCTGCCTCATTCAATTGCCTAGGATGGCCTTGAATTTGGGATCCTCCTGCCTCAGCCTCCCAAGCAATTGGGATTACAGGTATGTGTCACATGCCTGGCAAGACTCCTTTTAAAAAGGTCCTTGCATGTATGCCATGTTTTTAAACAAATTCCATCAGGTTTGTAAATGATTTATCTGTCCTATAGTATTCTGATACTACAAAGAGTGTGTTACCACATGGTTATTGATTAAGCAGCACAAATATTCATTTTACCACTGTGACTAACAGGTAGTGAGCAGTTAGTATTGCAAAAATACTCTGAAAAAAATGAATCATCTTGCAATGTATTCATTTATTGCATTTTATTATGTGAAAGACAACATAATTGCAATACAGGACCTGTGTCAAGCTAGCAGTAACACTCGAGGTCCAAAGACAGAAACAGCAGCAAGAAGAGTACTGAACATACCTGAACTAATTCTGCCTTTAACGCCTCCCTCTCCTCCTCGGAGAGCACGCTAGGGAAGTCAGCGCTGGCTACTGCGTCCTCATCTGTTCCTTGCAGCGGCTCTGTCTCCAGCAGACCTTAGGAGAATCGATAACACATAATGCTTGGTGGGTTGGGGTGAAGCTTCGCCCTGGTGGCTGTGCCATCTTCCCTGGGGATGGGAGGAGCTCACTGCTGGGCCTGTGCAGGGGGAGGCCAGGCCTGGGTCTGTCTCCTCCCTCCTCCCTTCCCTTCTAGCCCTGTTTCCTGCTCTGCTGCCAGGCCGCCAAGATCTGAGCAGCTCTGCTCAGCCACACTCTTCCACCACAGCACCTCTGCCACAGAACCAGTGACCGTGGATTGAAACCGTGAGCAAATTCAACCTCTCAGCCTCTAGGTTGTGGGTATCAGACACTGTGTCCAGCAATGGGAAAGCTGAGCAATGCACAGTTCTAAAGTGACTTTAGCCAGCTTTTGTCACATAGCCTGGAGGACTAAATGCTCTGAGTCTCCGACTGAAAGACAACTCAAAATTCCAGAAAAGAAAAGAAAAACAACTTACTGAATGGGAGAAAGCAAAGAACACTCAGAAGCCAAGGAAGAACCTGGAGATATAAATAAGCCCAGCTTTCCTGGATGGTGACCTGCGTCCAGAGTTACTTGCTTCTCACTGGTTCTTGGGGTTCAGAGGGCAGAGAGCAAAGCCCATGGCTGCCCACAGGGAAGAGTGCAGTGGAGACCCCTGTGTAATCTGTGTCCCACTGGCTGTGCCCCGAGAGTAAGGTGAACTGGAAATAGACGCGTGGGCTCCTCACCGGCATCTGTAAGGCAGGTCGCCTCTCGACACCAGCTCTGAAAGGACGGGAAAGACTCTCAAGACCAGAGCCCAAGTGAGACCGGAAGTGATCCATCAGCTGACTGCACACTCTGAGAGTGGACTGGGCTCTGGGAATGTGAGGATTTAAAACAGGAAGACTCTTCCCCTTTGCAGGGTAAGACTGGGAGCCTGGAGCAGCTCGGGAGAAGTACTGTGGATAACCATCCTGGCAGATGGGAAGGCTGGAAGTGCCTGGGTTCTTGACACCACCCCAGTGCCACAAATCTACACTGTTATTGGCTGGATCCTCTGCGGTGCCCTATGAACCTATCCAGACCCATCACGCCCTGGGCAGGACCCGGCCTCTGAGACTCCCTGTGGTTCAGTAACCCTGGTTCCCTCGGGCCATTCTCTGGGCTCATTAGGCTACTTCTGTCCCTGAGAGCTCAGAGTCCCTGTCTTCCCTTGAGTCAATCCTAACCCTTTCCACCTCCCAGATCCCGGATTCCAGTCAAAGCAGGCCCAGAAGCATGAACTCCACTAGAAGCCGGCCAAGTAATGTCCAGTGGCCATTTTTGTTTCCAGAATTCATTTTTCATACTGTTGCTGCGAAAGGCTTTTCTCCCAGCTAGCCACATGAACAACTCCCTCCGTGCTGAGCTTCTCATCCAGATGCTACCTCCTTGTGAAGACTACGCTGGCCTCTCCGCTTGGACGGTCATCAGCTTCTGTCCCCACACCAGCTCTGACGCGGTCATAGAATGTTCGATTTTTATGGCTCCTCCTTGAGTACTGGATTGCTTTTCACTGTGCATCTTACCATATTGAACTTCTTGCAAGTTCCTTACAGAGTCAAACTCTTATTTTGGTTGTGTCTGACACACAGATGGTATTCAATAAATGTTGAATGAAGATTAAAAACAATAACTACATTGTGACGTGAGAAAAGTGCCCCCTAACCTAAAAACCTGAAGTTCGAGGAGAGGGCCCCTTGGTGTCTGGCTGACTCATGGGCCTGGGCCTCCAGGGCCAAGCACTTGTGGAAATTCCATTTATGACCTGATTTTTGACAGAGCTGGCACTTGCACATCTGTGGAGAAAGGAAGGCCTTCTAATAAAACGCCCTCCAATAAACAGCTGTATATAGTAAAAATCATTCCAACAACCTCATACCATGCACTGGGACAAAGCCAGGAGCATTTTAGAAGACAGCCCAGTTTATATTCACGAACCTCTGGGTGGAAGGGCCAGCTTAAGACACAAAATGGCAGACCGTGGGAAGAAGGGTGGGTAGGTGAAGAGTGTCTCTCCCTCAGGCAAGGAAAGTGAGGACAAGCCACCAACGGGAAGGTATCTGTCACGTCAATTATCAATGATTTCTTCCTGGAATATATGGAATTTCTACAACCAACTTTAAAAACAGAAATAATTCCACAGAAAAATGAGTAAAAAGATCCAAACAGATTCTCTGTAGGAAAAAAAAAAATCACAAACGGTTAAAGAGAATCTGCCCAACTTCACTGATATCCAGGGAAACACAAATGGACTCGTTTCTCGCTCACTGCAAATGAAAAGCTTTGAGCTGACATCATTAAAATGTTGGCAACTATACGGCGGACCCAGAGACGTTCATACACTGCTATCAAGAATATGATTTTAAACATTTGGAAAACTAATTTAGCATTATCTGTTAAAGCTGGGCGCAGACGTGAACTTTCACACACCCTACAAGGCAACAGTTCCACACCTAGTGTTTTCTCAGGATTTCCCATGTGAGCATCAGATATTGCACATGAGGGCCGGAGGATGCTAACAAAACCTTTCATAACAACAATAAACCGAAAGTCACACACAGGCCCACACACAGGCACGGCTCACATACAGTGTGGTGCATTCACCAGACAGAGGCTTTCAACAGCTAAATGAGTGGACAACAAGTACGGACACCACATGATGTAACTCGGAAATAAGACACTGAAAGAAACGTGCAAGTTAAGATCGATAAAGTATAATTCCACATACAAGAAGCCCCAAATATACAAACTAAGCAAAAGGCTGCTTAGGAAAAAAATCTAAAGAAAAACGAGGCAATGATACAAAATACAGAACCATGGCTTTCTCTGAGGAAGGGGGTGGGAATAGGAGGGGGACCCTAAAGGGACCACAGTAGGATTCATTTCTATGCCATGTTTATGCTGAATTGCTGAGCATGGACATTTTCTGCACTTTACCCTTACCTTGTAAGGATTCTTTTCTTTTTTAATATTTATTATTTAATAAAACAATTTGCTATGGTGTTTTGTCTCAGCAACAAATAGTAACTCAGACACAAATAAAATGGATTTTTCTAAAGTCAAAAGAGAAAGGTAACACATGTGATATTTATACACAATGGAGTACTACCCTGAAGAAGGATAAAGCTGAGCCATTTGTCGGGAAATGGATGCTCCCTGAGACCATGTTATATGAAATAAATTTGACACAAGCTTAAATATTGTATTCTTTTTTAAATGGCAGAAGCCCAAAGTATTAATGATTTAACAGCAAAATAAAAGGTAGATAAGAGGATACAGGGAGAGAGATCTTTTGAAAAGGGGAAAGGGATCCAGAGACGAAGGGAAGAAGGGCAGGGAAGATGATTTAAAAGTGTCAGTGCACACACAACTCCCCGCAAGGAGTGGGATCACTGTGTACTGCAAATGTGTACTGATAGCAATTTTTAAAATTAAAATAAATCTTATAAAAGCAAGACATTATGTCCCAAGTCGACAGGTTCTCCTAATGCCCCACCCCAAGTCCTTCCAATGCACATCTTTCTGAGTCAGCAATGGCCATCAGTGCCCATGTCCCTGCAACACACACACACACACACACACACACACACACACACACACACACACACACCAGTCCAAGGTCACCATATCCCTAGAACCTCACAGGCCAGTTTCAATGCTAAGTAACTTTCTTCTGCATAGCTAATACCTGTTCATTGTAAAAACAAATTTTTAACCACTATTAATTAACTGGTCTTCCTTTCAGGTATTTCTTCTACGTATTAGTGTATTTTCTGGTATACATGTACGGCATTTACCACTGCAAACCTGGTTTATTTATGCAATAGGCTATTAAGAATAGCCTCTTGTGTTTAAGGTACATATCTACCTTTACATATTTTTGATGAGTTGCAGAATTTCACCTCATACATTGTTGATAATTTATCTTGCTTGCTGGGAAGCTGCAATGATCATCTCTTAAGTCAGTAGGCAAAAAGTTGGTGATTTCTTGTACATTAAATTATTCACAGCATATGGACATTTTGAAACCTACTGCTAAGTAGACCCAGAAAGACTGTACTGGTTCTGTGCAAATACCACCAACCCATAGCACTACAAATGGAAGAAAATAGGGAATAGACTCACAATACAATGTACCTCGGTAATCTTTAAAGGGAGAAATATTATCTTTTATTTCTGTAGTAAGTATGGTTTACATTGGCCAGTGTATTTTTAGTCACTGTTTTAGAATAACTGCTTAAACCAGGAATCAGCAGCAATTTCAGCTTAGCTCAGAATATAAAGCCACCCTTGCATTGGGGTTGAAAGAGAGCCTCGGTCTTCTCTCCAACTAAGTCTTGCCCAAGGACTTCAAGTATTGTCCACACTTAACTAAAACCCAAAGTATTAGCTTTCCCTGAAGAAGATACAGTCCAGGATAGAGACAAAAGTTCTAGGTACTCAGACTTTGCAAGATATCAAACAGCTGTAGTAAATTTAGAGTAAACTCTAGAAAGCACATCATATTCAAAATCCTATATAGATTATAATACTTGAATGGGGACCCTTTAGTACTCAGCTGAGGGGAGGTTTGTAGATCAGAAATAAAATGAAGCAATCTGCACTGGTGTTCGGCTCCTATCTGTCCCACATCCCACTCTTGGAGACCTCAAGCAGCTTTCAAAATTTCCCTGCCCGGAAGCAGCCCTTTGAGAAGACTGCCCAGACTAGGCTGCTGATCAGTCCAGGTCTCAGTTCCTCCTCTTCTTGTTCAACTTATGTGTGTATTCCTTTGCTCCACCCTGTCCCCTAGAGGGACCTCAATGGAGGAGTTCAGCACAAGCACCTCATTAACACAAACAGCATGAAAACAAAGCCTGCTGTGTTTGGCAGAAAATGTTAGGTTCATTGGTTAGGTAAGCAGTCATCAGATTATGAGGACAAACGTAATCACTGAATCCAGGTGTAGGTAAGAAGAGGAGTTGGATAAAAAAGGTGATTAACCAGTGAAGCTGGGTCAAATCAGGGAAAAAAGGAAAATGAAAAAGGTACCAAGTAAAAGACTATAATGTGAAAAAGACAGTAAGTATACAATTACCTAGTTACCATGGAAGCAAATGTTGAAGAAGAGTAATAACATTTTTTTTTAAAGAAAGCAATTATCAACGAGCAAAATTTGCTCAGGAATCAATCACAATTTTTAGCAGATGCCATCACATTATGAGTCAACTTCATGGTCTTCGTTCTCTCTTCTAAAGGGGCAAAATGCACCTCCCGAAGTCAGACACAGAGCGAAAAACAAAACAAAACAAAACAAAAAAACACTGAAATGAAAGTTCGATCTGAATTCTAGCTGTGGTTTAGCTACGAACTAGCAGAGAACGGTTGCCCTGAGTCATCACATCTGTAACATGAAGACCTTACAGGACTGTCAGTGAGACTCAGTGCCATTGAGCCAGGTGATGTAGATAAAAATGCTACACAGATTTTAAATTTCCATACAAACGATAGCAACCTACTGGTGAAATTGGGAGCAGCAAGTCATCATTCTAATAAATATTAACGTGCTCTATTTTCTTTTGCTTTCCCCAGAATGTAATATGCTTCTTCGTGGTCTGAGGCATCTGACTACCTGAAAGAAAAAAAAAGTAGTAAAAAAAAGAAAGCAGTAGAAGAAAAATAAGAAAGAAGTAAAAGAAACACAAGGAAATGGGTAATATTTCAATTCCTGGCATTTAAAATTGGATTTGCTAGCAACACGACAGCTTTGCAATACAGGCAGTTTTCTAGGAGGTGCTGTCCTGCACATCTTTCTTTCCCTCGTGGCAGATCAAAAGCTAAGCCCTGGATGGCCAGCCCAAGTGATTCCTCTTAGAGACTCAGTGCACCAGGACTTACCGGAGCTGTGTGTACCTTCTGTCTGTCCCTGGGAGGTGGAGCAAACAAAAGCAGGGAAAGAACAGAGGGCAGAGAGACCTCAAGATGCGTATGTCCAACCCTCTGCTTTGGTCTTCAGCTGGACAAGGAGGTAGTGTGTCCGATTATGGAGAAACCTGCTGCTGGAGCTTCTGCAGGCTCGGTTGTTCCTGCAGATCCATGCTCTCCCCTGCTCTGAGACTGAACTAAGGATGGCGTCAATGCCATTCCCTTGGGCATCTGCTCCTTTCCACTGGCCAAAGGGGCGCCCCCAGGGCCTTGAAGGGCAGAGGAGCATGGGGAATGCACATGACTGAACACCTCCCACTCTACCAGACTGCATTTGGCAGCTTCGGCTTTTAGCAGCCACTGGCCACAGCTTCATCTACTAGAGCTTGGCTCTTGTCCATTTCTAAGAACCCCACCCTCTCCTCCAGCCTGGGGATTGGGTTGACTTCCTATTGCTGTTACTCCCATGTGTTCCAATGCCCAGAACCCTACCTACTCAGCGTTTCACCCTGTGCTTGTTTCCTGGTCCCTGCCCCAGAGATTAGGTAGGAGACACCTTGCCGCGCCCATGTTACCCTGGTGCACAGTTGTCATAACACAACATACTTGGCTGGTGCAGGGCAGGTGGGCGGCTCAACTCTTCCCCTTTAGACCCTAACTCACTCTCCTACAGCCAGCTAGCCATAGATGGGGTCCAGAACCTTCCAGGATCCAGGGAGAAAGTTGCTGCTCGAGTAAGGCATTGGTAACCCTAAAGCAGCAGCTGGGGGTTTTAGCAGAGCTCTGGATGGAGGAGGTAAGGAGATCTCCAAGCAGGAGAAGCAAGGCAAGGCTGAACCAGCTCGGAGAGTCTTCCAGGCCCACCATCACTGAAGGAGACAAGATTGTGACTGACAGCTATAGAAACCCTTAGCACCAGAGGTCACCTATCCTATTCTTTTCTAAAATGTGTCTTTGGAGGGGAGTGAGTGTGTTTAACAATGGTTATTTTATACTAAAGTACACATTTAAGTGTGTTACAAAGACAATCATGATGATTGTCAAACTAAAGTATTATGTGTGGCTCCTGTTTTAAAGTTTTTTGTTAATATTCTATAGGAATCCAACTGCTAGAACAACCATGACTGATAAAAATAACCATCCTTTAACTATATTTTAGATTCCATGATGCTTACTATCCAGGTAAAACTATAACAGTTAAGTTCATTTCTCCTATTGCAATGCTAATGATATCTATCTTCTCTTCTGGGTTTTCAACCACTAAAATTCAGAGACCAGAACTAGAAAGGTAACAGGGCTAAGAAGACAGCTCTGGCCCTCCAAGGTCAACAAAGATCCAGGGCATGAGGGAACCTTCTCTACAATATCCTGCATTTTTGGGAAGTCACCCAGCCTCCTGAGCAGAGAGATTGCCGGACACCGAAATAACAATTGCAGTGTGCCAAACGAGGGTCACCTGGAGGGAAAAATCTCCCGTGCTTTCACAGAAAGCAACATGGCCAAGCAAGGCCATGACGTAACCTGATGGCTGAAAGTGACAGGAGCTGAGGGCCTCTCTACATTGTTCCAAGGTATTGCCTGGGGAGCCCTGATTGACCTTGATAGACAGCAAAAGGTTAAGGTTATTTAATATAGGTTTCATTGAAACTTGGTCTTAAACACCCAGTAGAAAATTAAGGATAAATAAAATCAAGACCACAGTAATATAGCTACATTTAGAAAGAGGCTCCAATTGATGACCCCGTCTGATAGCTTGCAGATACACTGATCACTGACCACTGTTATGGGCCATTAGATAAAACCGTGGCAAAATTTATATGAACTCAATAGTTTAAAAAAATTTTTAGCTCAACTTATTTTTGAAATTATTGACGTTTTAGTCTTTTTACAGCTACAATTAAAATTATAACAAAATATCGGACTTGTAGATAACCTCCATTAGTGGAAGGTCTACAGGTGAACAAGTTGCATTCACTATTTTAGTCTCCTAAAAACAGTTTATAAACAGCTCTTTCCCCAAACTACCTTTTTATTTTAGTGCTTCTATCTTGACTATATGTGCTGTAATTTCTTTAAAATTTTTATTTATTCTTGCTTATGGACTGCCAAACTCAAAGTGACCATACAGATAATATTAACAACAAATATGCTAGATTTTTTTAAAACCCAAATCCACCAGATTGACCTTATAAAGAGAGTTTATGATTACTAAATTGCCACATGGTTTTTATTTAAGGGTTAAATTAGCTCTCTAGAAGGGGCCCCTGACTGCAGTTTTCCTTACATTGACCCTTCTCAGCTTGAAGCAGTTAGATGAAACCTGCATTCCTTTCCCCTAGCTGCAGATAGCTTTTGAAAAAGAGCTTATTATAGACAACTAATCCAGTTAAAAACATCAAAGGTCCTTAAAACCACATAGAGACAAGCCATTGTTTGATGTACTCAATTTTCCCTAAAAACACACTTACATAAACAAGAAAAGGGGAGTAAAACTACCTCTACAAGCTCAATTAAATTTCGCTCTAGTTGCTTTCATTTAAAAAATTTTTTAAAATCTACTTATGGAAAGTAAATATCCTCCATCATAACTCCACTGATACTAAGATAAATCTACAGACACTTCCTAGACATGAATGTCATCAACGGATGTCCTAACTAAATGGTAAAATGGCACAACGCAATCAGTAGCATCGGAGCCAGAGTATGCTTGTGTTCCAACAGAGGACAGACTCAATCCTGCAGAGATCACCAGGCCCGACACACCGCCTGCCACTGAGACGCAAGAACAGACATATCGTGCCATAGAGGAAACACACAACCTGGGGAGATGTGGGAGTGCCGTGCTGTAGATGTGCCTTCCTCCCTGTCCATTCCCCATAAAACCATCAAAGCATGGCGTTCTGAAGTCCTTGGCTGCTCTCCCTGTTCCAGTTACAGGCAGCCCCTTCACCTCCCCCTGCACTTCCCTCTCTACTACTATAAATAAACATGCTACAGTCATCAGGAAGACCTTTACTCCCATCGGGAGGAAGGCTCTACCTGGACTCAGCTCTTTGTATCTCTTTGTCTGTCTTTTCTTCAACCTTCACTGTTCTCCCTCCAAGGTCTTTGAGTTGTGCAGGACACAGCAGGTCCCAGCTACAGTTCCACGCTCCTAGACACTGAGCTCCTGTAGCTCCAAAGCCTCAGGCCTGGTCTTTTCTGCTGCCCTATAAAACACCCAAGGTTGGGGGATTCAAGAGAACAGAGATGCCTCTCTTACAGTAAGTGGTGGCAAGGCCAGGGGTTGAGAGACTTGCACCTGGCCATGGTCTTCTTGCTGTGTCATCCCACAGAGGAAGGCAGAGGGAGAGAGCGTGCATGAGAGAGGAAGGAAGGGGGGTGCAATAAATAACTAATCCACTTGCACAGAGCAGCACTGGTCCATGCATGAGGACCAGGCCCAGGGACCTGATTGCCCCTGAATGGTCCCACCGCTCCTTGTGGCTGCATTAGGGATTAGTCTCTGACACAAACATTTGGAGAGATGGATTTAGTCCACTCCAGAACTTCCTTGTCTTACAACCAAGTGAAAATAGTAAAGAAAATGTTAGCAACTATGAATCGAATTGAGAAGTGAGGTTTAGCTTAAAGTGCTTTATTCAGCTTTGAAAAGAAATGACCCACTGATATCTATGTACTATTCACTTCTTAACTGTACTACTGGGGGTAAAACTCAGTCACTGAACTACATCTTCAGCCCTTTTAATTTAGAGACAGGGTCCCTAGAAACCCTCCTGCCTCAGCCTCCCAAGTGCCTGGGATTACAGGCTTGTGTCTCCAGCCCTAGTTGGTCTCTACCCCTATGGATTAGGTGATGGCTTCATCCACAGATTAGGTGATGGCTTCATGACCATGACTGAAATTTTACAGACGGTCGAACATTAAAATGATTGATCAAAGACTGTGATTTTGAATCTTCAGACTGGACTAGTGACCATAAGAGGTATTGTTAATGAATATGGCAAAGTTACGGATTTCTTTTAAATACTAAAATAATCTTGTACTGTATTCAGGAATTAAATAAATATGTCTGTGTAACCAAGCAAAAGGAGAGAAGCATACACTTTCAGAAAGAATGCAAAATTATCTCAAAATTTAATAAAAGAAGGAATGCAAGAAAGTAGCTTAAATGAAAAAAATTCATCCTCTCTTAAATAGGATATTTAAGACCATGGTATTTATTACTTAATTATATTTTCTTCATAACGTTTGGTAAAAATAACCTCAGGAATTCTTATAACATAAAACAAACATCTCCATTATTCTCCAAAGGAATAACCATCAAACTAATCTCATTACTGTTGGATTCGTGATTATCTTTAAGAATACAAAAAAATGCAAGTTGATTCTAGAAGGGTAGAAATTAAAAGATATACAAGTTTACTTATTGTAATCCTACTTTCTGCACTTTTACTAAACCTACCACAAAAACCCTAATGTTTGCAGCCCTTCAAACCCTAAACTGTGTTTCATTCACTCGATTGTATCTCCTGTCTAATCTATTATGGAATCACCCTTCCTGTTAACCCTGGAGTTGTGGCAGAGGTTTCAAATGCCAAGAATGAAATGCACCCTCATCTCCCAAAGCAAGAATGGAGCCCTAATCCAGGGCACACCCAGGGGTTTCAAAGCTGTTTCTGCACGATGGGGCTTCACTTCCCTCTGCCTTTGACAGGGTCAGCAAGGATCAGGGACGGTGACACTGGACATTTTCACACACAAGCATCATAAAAAACAAATTATCCTCCAACCATGCACAGGTAGCCTGCCCATATCCATCAGTCCAGATATTTTCCCGTACACTGAAGAACACACATCCCCTTGACAGTTTTAACAACTCAGAAATCAAGGCGGTTCTTGTAATCAATAGTGACTTATAATTCATTAGCAGTATTTTTTTCTTTCTGATTGGTATACAAAATGATGGTATCATAAAGTCTTTGGCATCTTAGTTTTAAAAATCAAATGCCCATATCCATCAGTCCAGATATTTTCCCGTACACTGAAGAACACACATCCCCTTGACAGTTTTAACAACTCAGAAATCAAGGCGGTTCTTGTAATCAATAGTGACTTATAATTCATTAGCAGTATTTTTTTCTTTCTGATTGGTATACAAAATGATGGTATCATAAAGTCTTTGGCATCTTAGTTTTAAAAATCAAATATATATATACCATGGGGTTACCAACATCCTCAGATCCTGAAGTTCCTATGTAAAACAACCTGGCATTTGCATATAACCTACTTATATTTTCCCATCTATTTCAGATCATCTCTAGGTTATTTGGAAAACCTAACACAATGTTGTTGTTGTTGTTTTGGTACCAGGGATCAGACTCGGGTCCTTGGGCTTGTGAGGCAGGTGCCAAAACCTCTGAGCTAAATCCCCAGCCCAACACAATGTACATGCTATGTAAGGAGCACTGTATCAGTCACCTTTCCCATTGCTCAGACACAACACCCAACACTGACAAACTAAAGGACGGGAGATATAATTTGGCCTGTGGTCTCATTCTGAGGCAGGAACATCACAGTGGTAGGTTGTGGCTGAGCAAAGCCGCTCAGTTCATGGAGGCCAGAAAGTGGAGCCCAGGAAGAAAGCCATACCCTCCAAAGCCATCCCTAGTGACGCCCTTCAACGGGGCCCATCTCCGGACAGCTCACCCCACTGTGAACCACAGAGGAGTAGAGCGCCACCAACCCACTGTTCTCTCCAGGAGTCGCTGTGTCCAGTTAATGGGAAAACACCAGCAACCGGAACAAGCATCACACTTACTGTTTAGGAAATAAGGAAAGGAACAAATCTGAACCTGCTCAGTACAGACTGGATGCTTTTGACCCCCTGCATCTGCTACTGCATCTAAATCACCGAAAAGGACAGAGAGGACAGACAGGTGGCATAAGGGTCAACTGCGTTCTTGCAGAACAGTGCCATGTAGGGCTCCATCTTCCTCAGAGCTGCCCTGCATCTTGCGCTCACTGATGATTCATCCATGTGCTCACCAACAAACATTTGTTGAGAACTAAACGCTGTGCCAATCTCTCCTCTCCTTGGAACCATATTCCTGCTTGACTTGAGGCCGGACTGACTTCTGAATTCTAAGAGCTTTCTCTTGACCTTTGAAGTACAGCCACCCTTCTCGTTGTCCCCTCCCTCCCTTCCTTTTTCCTTCCCCTTTCTTCTTTCCTCCCTTCCCTTCCCTTCTTTTTCCCTGTCCTGTTTTTTCCTCCCTTCCTCTCCCTTCCTTTTTCCCTTTCCCTCCCTCTCTCACTTCCTTCCCTTTTATTTTCTTCCTTTACCTTCCCCTTATTTTCTTCCTCTTTTTTTTTCTTTTTCCCTTCTCTCTCTCTCTCTCTCTTTTCTTTTTTTCTGAAAGATTTGCACTATACCACTGCGATACATCTGTGGCCCATAACCTCATTTTTCACTGGAGATAGTATATTTTTTTTCTTAAAAAAATACTCCAA